TTATTAACATTTTTTTATTTTTTATTTCATTATTTTCAAACTCTATTTTGGTTGGGAATAAATTTCTAAAATACTTATTTATTTTTTTCGATATAAGTTGGAATAAATTTCAAAAAGTACTTATTTGTTTGATTCATGCGGGATAATACATTTGTAAAGGAACAGCAAATAATAACCTCCTAATGTATTAGTAAAAAGTAACGCTTTAGTAATGACACGCGACCACGAACAAATGTTGGAAAATGACTAAGCTAACACAAAACGTTCAACAAATGTTTTGTGTTAGCTTAGTTTGAACGTTTGGCAACGTTCATCAGACGTACTTGAACGTTTTGTGTTGGCTGTAATTGTTAATAATATCATAATAATATCAAATAATATCACAATAAATTGCCGCCTCATGTCACTAAGCATTAAGCTTCTAGAATATGAAAGTTGTGAGCTATTTAAAAATGATTGTTGAAATTCTCATATTTTAAATATTTTACAATGAATAAAAAACTTAAGCTTCATTGATAAGCAGATTATAAACTTGATTCTTTCTTCTAGCTTAAACATTTTTTAAAATGACAATATTAATTACATATTACATATACTATATACAGTTACTAGTTTTTCTTATTTTAATTTAAAATAAGACAAATTTATTAATATAATATTATGTAACTTATTTAAAATTTAAATAACAAAACAAATATTTTAACAAACTGAACATTTTTTATATTAGGGGGCATCCATAAAGTGCGTACGCAGTAAAATTACTGATTTACCTCCTCCCCTCGCTGCTTTTAGCACCCTTTCCTCTTGTACGCATTTGTAACATTCCTTTGTCCCCATTCCACTTTGCTGTCTTTAGGACCATATCTCGCTTGAGCACATTTGTACGTTTTTAGGTAACTCCCCTGCCCCAAATGCCTGCGTACAAATTTTATGAATTGACCCCTACGGTAAAGAAACATGCATTTTTGACCAGTAGCAATCGTGATTTGATCAATAGCAATGGTGTATTTTATCTTGCATTCCTCAGATTGTTAAGACTAGACCAAGTGAATAAGAAAAAGTAATTGCTTTGACTAAGTATTTGGTCAGAACAATTCAAAAACACTGAATAAAAGCAAATCTTTTTTTTATTATTATCTGCAAACATTCTATGGCTGAATTTCAGTGGATCATTATAAGCATTTTGAGCTTTCCACTGTAGTTTTGCTTATCGGTCACTTAGTGCACCATTATTAAACCTAGCAAACGATTAGGTACTATATCATATGTTGGAAGTTTATTGGCGGCACACATAGCTACTGCCACTAATGGTCCACTAAGTAATCCATGAGTAAAACGTCAATAAACCGCCTAAAATACCTATATAGATCCACTGCAAATTCTCCACACAAATGTTTGCTGGGTAACTATATAGTCAGTTTTTTTATAATAGAGATTGCTGCCTTTTTTACACATCCGGCGGAATATTTCACCATTTTTAATGATGAAATATTCCACCAGCGCCAGATGATGAATTATTCTTGCGACAGCTCTATTTAATCATTGCAAAGCTCCTTTGCCAATAACCCAGCAAACATTCTATAGTGGAATTTCAGTAGACCTATGCAAAAATATTTAGTGGTCTATTGTAGTTTTGCTCATCGGTTACTTAGTAGACAATTAGTGGCTGCCACATATATCACAATTTTGAATGTCATCAGATGGCCACTTATAGAATATGCCTCTTACGGTCCACTAAGTAAAAAATAAGTAAAGGTCCAATAAACCGTTTAAAATGTCTATATAGACCCACTGCAAATCTACTACAAGTCTGCTTTTTATAAACTGACCTACAAGAGTAGGCCAGTTCAAAAAAAAAAATTCATAGGTAAGTGGCTAGATGTTTAAATGATGTTAATTGGTGGAAAAAAAAAATCCTTAAAATTTCAAAGCATTATTCGAATATTTTGTAATAGCTCAATTAACTTTACTTTTCAACGGAGTTCTAATATTTGAAGAAAACAAAGATCTTTAATAGTAGGTCAACCTGGTACTCAAAAGAATCAAAATAGTATATAAATTTCAAAAATAATATATGTTTTATAACAAAATAAATTAAAATTTTGTTTTTTTAATGAAAAAAAAATTTATAAAAAAAAACGAAATTTGTTTATAATTAGTTAAAAAACCATAGTTTTTACGTAATTAAACGTAAAATAATAGTTGTAGTATAAAATAATATTTTTTTTAATTTTCATATGATTTTACTTTTTTTAAGACCCAACATGACATACTTTTGAAAAACTTTTTTTATTAAATGTTAGGAAAACTTTTAAAAAGAAAAGTTAATTGAGCTGTCCCTAAAACTCTTTATTTAAGCTTGCAATTTTGAACTAATTTTCCTGACTATAAACCACATCAAATCAAATGTTAGTCTAATTAAAGTTCAAAAATTATTTTTTTTTATAAATTTTGAAATGCAGAGGTTTTGTGAATTTGTTTGTTTCCCTCGCAAATTTTACAAAGATACAACATTCGTCCAATGACAAACACTCCCAATTGTAATTTATTTTTCACAATAAATTCTCTCTCCTCAACGTCTTTTTCAGATAGAAGCTATTTTGAGACATTTTAGTGAGGATGATAGTTTTGAGACAGTGCTTCTAGTGGGGATGATCGGGATGGCTATGACACAATATGATCTTTTGTTTGTAACGCAACCAGATAGATAAAGTGTTGCAAATTTTAAAAGTGTTGGGAATTTATTATAGGATTCCTTGAAACATCACTCTCCATGAAATCACTGCAATTATTTCTTTACTATTATTTTACAATCTGACAATCTGACAATATATGTACATGAAATTATACAAACTCATAAATATAAACTATATAAGTACATTTCACAACCGCTATTTCCAAGCACCTAACAAGACGTGATTCTTATCACACATAAAATATTTCATTTTTGCTATTGATGACGTTTTATGTTACTATTAATCTAAAATAAACTTTGACTTATAAGAATTATTTTTATTTCTTTGATTTATACAGATTTATAAAACTGATTTTAATGCTTTTTACTTTTTAAAGTTTTAATTTCGTCCTTCTATTATCCTATCTTTTTTATAAAGCCTAGTTGTTATTATTATTATTTTTAATATAGTGTGTCATTTACGACATATGTAAACAAAAACAAAACAAAGGAACACCAAAAAAGATTGCCTTGTGGACATATTACATGTGTAGCCTTATCCTACATTTATTTTTTGATACCAAATTGTTAAAAAGTAGATAAGAATTGACAAGGTTATAACAATTTAAATAAAAAAATTAATAAATTTTGATAAAATAACATGATAGAAATATGTATACATATTTCTAGTATGTTGTGAACTTAAGAAATGAATTTTTTTTTCGTTTTTTTTTGTTTTTTGTTTTGTTTGTATTTTCTGATTTTTTAATATACATATTATTATACATATAAAAGCAAATTATTTCTTTTCTTTTTCATTTTCAACAAAGTGAAGCTCGAGCTTGTGGAATGTAAAAACACTTTATAAAGTCTTATTATAAACTTCTTAGAGATTTTGCTCAGTCGGTTTGCTTCAAATTGTTTTAAATAAAATTAAAAAACGTCCTTAATCTGGATCAAAAAACAAGATCTTTTACAAAGTGTTTAAACCAAAAAACAAAATAAAAACTTGTTTTTTTCGTTCAAATTTTTAATGTTTTCTACTTGTTAAAGGTAAACAAAAATATTTTATGCAGGTAGCTCTTTTTTTTTCTATTTCCTCGAGGAGTTTTCTATTGCTTAAATGTCTTTGCATAAGTTAAACTCCAGCACTGAGCAAAGTCCTCACTTAAAAATAGCATTCAAGAACATGAGCTTTCATAGTTCTGGAAATTAAAGATAAAGTTAGGATTCCAAAATATATCGTAATTATATTATTTAAGTTATATAACTTAAATAGTATAATTATTTAAGTTGTATAGCTTAACTTATATAAAATCTTGATAGATTTTAAATAAATTTCAGAAGCTTGCTTGTATTCCTAAATAAGATCTTTGTTTACTCTTTAAATAATATAATCGTTATCTTGCTGATTAGATATATTACTGACTGATGGCAATTTCTTAAAGAGGCACCTTAACTACGCTGAGAACATCAACAGCGCCTAAGCATTCATGATTCAAACTCTGGCTTGGCTTCCGCCGTATTATGCAGTTTATTTTTAATTTAGTTTAACACATTTAAATACAGAAAAAAATCTATGAAAAAATTTAATTAAAATAATGACAAATGTTATTACTTCTACAAACAGTTTAAAAAGTGATTAAAAATTAAAAATTTGGATATTTAATTTGTTGTTAGTTATTAACAGTTTTTTCCACTTTGAGAAAGAAAGACAACACATTTTCCCCCATCGGCAACCAAACTAGCGACTTTAGCTCCGGTTTGGCTCCGCAGACTGAGGTGAGCTTTTTGTGGTTTCATAAATTTGACTAGATTATATAGACTTAACTTTAAGGAACGAAGGAAACACCAAACTTATTTACGAGTATAAACTTATGTACGATATTATAAATCTATGACGTCACGCTATGCAAAAATTGTAGCGATTGCAATAGCTCGAGAACAATTAAAATTCTTTACTGTACTACACAGGTAAATATTATAATGATTATGTAAAAGACAGGTTTGAATAAACTTGAATAAAAATAAATTAAAAAATTGAGTTTTTATTATAATAAAAGTCAAAATTACAAAATTAGAGGTGCGAAAAAAAGTTAAATAACCCCTATCAACTAAAAACCATATAAAAATTGCACTAAAAACCATATAAAAATAATTACTAATATACTGGTTTTAGTTTATTAAACAAGTGTGGAAATAATTAAGAATTTATGGCTGACGTTTGTTTATAATAAACTTATATGCTTGTATTGCCTCTAAACTAGACTTTTACATTTACCATTTTGAGAATTTATATTATTAAACAAAATTTATGAAATCATACCTGCATTGCATACTTTTAATATAATACAAAAAACAAAAATCAAACTGCCTGAAGAAAGTCCCATGATAAGCTAAAATGAATTTTTAGTTATTATTATTCTTGTATGTGTGTGTCTATATATATAAATATATATATATATATATATATATATATATATATATATATATATATATATATATATATATATATATATATATATATATATATATATATATATATATATATATATATATATATATATATATATATATATATATATATATATATATATATATATATACATTATCCATTTAATACTATTAATAATTTTCTTAAATGTAATTCTATAAAATTATAAGTTTCTTAAAGAAAATACAAAAAGTCAAATTAATTTAAGTTTTTGTTAAATAACTAACCAAAGAGTCAAACGCCTTGCCAAAAGCTTACTTCATTAGACTGAAAATAAATCAAATGTACTCTTAAAAATATTAAAACTATTACTCATGCAAAAAAAACTCTACTACTTTGAAATTATTTTTTGAACTAAGAGGGATTAAAAGAGTATGGATGATTATAATAGAAGGCTTATGATTGAAACCATTCAACCATGAGCTTTAGTATTAGTTTTGCTTTTTATTTTAGCTTGACAATCAGCTTTTATTGATTTTTGTTACATTGACAACAATTTTATAGTATATCTTTGACAGAGAATGTTGCATAAAACCGTAAAAATTCTTGTGATCATACAACAATTTATTAATTGATAATTGAAATATATTTACAATAAATTGACTAATAGCAACTTATAGCATACTCATATGCTAATAAATAGCAGTCTAGGTTCTAATTTAAAAAAGCACAGATTTGGTTATCTAACTTAATTTATTGTGCAAATTAATCGTTATCACTAATTTGTACACTGAAAGTTATACTTATAGTCAAAAAAAATTATAAAAACATTTAATTTTAAACTTCAATAGTATACTAATTAAGTTTAAAATTAAATGTTTTGTTTTTTTGAAGTTTATTTTTATTATTTAAGTTTTTACATTATAAGTACAGCTAAAATTATCTAACATTAAAAATAATTAAATAATAATATTTAATTAATAATAATAATAATAATCTAAATTAGATATTTTAAATATATTTGAATATGTTCTCAGTTGAATAAATTTTTTCCCGTTTTGTGAACTTCATTGAATCTCATCAAAAAATCGGTAAAGGTCTTGCAACAGAGGCCTCTAAAAAATTAGATAAGGACGTCTAAAGGTTTGCGATAATTGAGCTAGTATGTCTTGAAAATACAAAGGCGCCTAAAGCTCACATCCATTCTCTCTGTGATTGAACAAGATTTATTTTTTTTAACTTTTTTTAAGTTCTACATCAAGATAGAAATAGTCTGATGAAAGTATTCACATTCTGATTAAAACAGTGACACAAAGTGGTGTACTAAAAAAGAGCCAATCACACCCTTACACAAACAAATCAAAGAAGTTCTTCAAGTTTTTGAATCCATTATCCACAATCTATGACAAATGCTGTCTCAGTTTATAGTGCAAAAGATCTTATCATTCAAACTGATTTTGTTGAATTTCTGGCGTCAAACTCTTTCTTTAATTGACCGGGAAAACAAACTGAAGACAACTTTCAGTGACTTTCAGTTTCAAGACAACTGTTGTTTCTTATCGTTTAGTGACGTGTTGTTGCATAATCCACAAGTAACAGAAGTTTAAGTATATTTTAAATTTCACTGTATTTTAAGAAAAAGAGTACTTAACGATTAAAAATTAAAAAAAAAAATTTTAAACATTGTTAACTTGTTTTAAATATTACTGAGCTAAACTTAATCATTTGATTCAATACTTTGTTTATTTTAGATTTCAACAATAAGCATAATTTCAAAACTCTTGCTTTTTAAACAAATTATTTCAGCAGATTTCAAATAAACATCATTTTTTATGATTCTTATGCACGAAGTGATAACAAATATTATATAATATTTGTTATGTATACTTAAATATATTATATATATTTATCACTTTATGCATAAGAATTATAAATAAATGCTAAAATATTTAGAAATAAGTCTGTTGAAATAATTATCCAATATATAGAAGAAAAAAAAAGTTGTGAAAATTGAAATACCCATGCGTTTTTATGATTTATTCTTAAATAACCCAAGTTACACGGTGACCACACTTGGGCGATTTTACGGTACCTATATAATTAAATATATACGCATATATGACAAAAGTACTTTTTTGGGGATTTTGTTTTGGCAAAAGCTTCTCTTTTCTCCTCTCAGTTTAAATTTAAATTGATCTTGATTATTTTTAATTCAAATAGGTCTTCTCACCTATCGATTAAACGTGGAGGAGGGAAGGTCAACATTTTGTCATATGAGGTCGTCCATGAATTATATCACGCTTTGGGAGAACGGAAAGTGGTTAGTCGTTTTGTAACGACTCATACGGAACTTATTACTAAAGAGATTTTGTGACAAGTAGTGGGTGGAGGGGTCAAAACTGTCAAAAAATTGCATGACGTAATTTGCGGACGACCCCTATAATAGAAATACTAATTTTATAAACGCTTTAATGAAATTAATTCGATAAACATGTGCATCTAACACAATAAAGAGTCAATTTTCTTTCTTAAAATAGGTAGATATTGCATTAAAAACATGGTAAGAGTTATAAGCTTTAAGTATGCGAAAAGAGCAAAAAAAAAATAATATGCGTTCTTTATGAAGAATTTTATAAATAATAAACAGAGGGGGGGGGGGGACTACCCTCTGTTTATTATTAATAGTTTATAATGAGAAGTTTTTAAATACAGAACATTAATCTTTAACCCAAAACCGATATTTTTAAATGAATTGCTTTTCTACTTTTTACTTAAAACTATTGAAGTAAAAAGACCGTAATAAAAACAAGTATAGAAATGGTCGATTTAGAACAGACTTACCAAGAACAGCATCATACGGGTTCAGAGCATTAAATGCCAAAAAAGTGTCTACCAATAGTAGCTGGTAGACAAAAAAAAATATCAAAAATGTACAGATGTACAAAAATGTTCTAACTAGCCCCAGTCTCCTCTATAAAAAATTGCAAAGAGGTTATTTTTCATATGTTACCTTTATAAATAATATAAACCTACGTATAACTGATGAAAAAAACTGCCTAATAGAGTTTTCAATTTTATTTTGATCAATTTTATTTTGAAAATTTATTTTAAAAAGAACAGTTTTTTGATTTCATTTCTGTTTCATAAGAGACTTTTATGAAAATAATTAAAAAAAAAAAGAATAAAAGAAGTTAATTTGTAATAAAAAAAGGAGCTTCCAAAACATAATTTTTTTTGTTCAAAAAACAACTATTTTAGGGTAGATTAGGGTAATAGGAGCACCTTGATAATATGAGCATACATAAAGATTTCTTAGATGTAAACAGAGGGCACGCGTCGTCCGGAGGACTTCCCCTGGACGACGCATGCCCATCGGGAAGCCGTGAATTTAAAGTTGCTTTCTATTTTTTGAATCAACTTTATGTGGTGATAACAAGAATCAGTACAATTAGCGTAAATTTATATGCTGCAATCAGCGGCTGTCATCTAGTTAAAAAACTATTAAATTTTTTGCGTTGTTAAAATAATATTATCACGCATGAATAAATCTGATGCGCGAAAATTAGGTATTAATTTGTTTTTTCATAAAGTAAAATAAAAATGTGGCTTAAAATTTGATTTTTTAATTATAAGTTTTGTTAATAACTAATCATTATATTCCAAAAATGAGTAGTAATTGTCAGGTTAGTATTTTTTTACTTAATTAATGTTAATTATTGCTCATATTACCAAGTGGTCTGAGTCATATGAGCAATTTTGCTACTTTTTTAAAACCTCTTTGTTTTTAAGAAAAAAAGATTATGAGTAGTGATCCCTAAAAATTGTTTATTCGCAAATATTTTGGATCCAGCATGGTTATTTTTGAGATTATTCCAACTTTCGTTTAAGTTGTTCATATTACTAATATGAACAATAATAATAGGTGTTGTAATGATAATGATAGGTGTTGTAGCAACTATTATTGAACTTAGGGTTCTCATGGTTACCGTGGTTTCTTTTTCCATACTATGCCATTCACAGAGTGGCATAGTATGGAAAAAGAAACCACGAGTAACCATGAGGGAGTGACATAGTATGGAAATGGATGGAATTGAACAAGCATAAAACTCAATAAAATAACTATGCTTCTTCTTAGTATATAAAAGTTAACACTAATTTTTTTAGTAATACGGTAAATATATATAAAGCCTGTATGAGGAAGCAAAAAAGAACTGAAATATCAAGTTTTATTTATTTTTGCTAAGTTAATGAGTGTGCTTATCCAATTGATTTTTTTATGTTCATGCTGTATTTTGGATATTGGATGTGAAAAATTTCTAATTAAAAAGTCCGCTCTGTCTAAATACACTAAATTAAGTACAACCTCATGTCGAGATATGATTAAGTTGTTTAAAAAATGATTAAATTGTTTAAAAAATATCTTATGATTAATTTGTTTAAAAAATAATTCCTAAATTCTTCTTTCGACATTAAAAAGCAAAGCCGACAATACCGAGGGGAGAAAGGGGTATTACCCCTCCCCCCTTTTTTTTTACATTTTAGGAAATTCTGAATATAGAAGACTATTTTAGACTTTATTATTCAATCTGAATTTATTTAAACTAGGGGTTATTAAACTAATATAATTTATTCAACTATAATTATTTACAATTGTAAATAATTAAAAATGGTAAATAACAAAAAATGAATGCAAAAACTATTAATTTACTTGTACAAGTAAATTAATAATTTTTGGTAAATGTTAATTCTATAGACGTTTAGTGCATAAAGGAGTTTTAACAAAGGTTCAGCATGAGCGAGTTTATCTTTTTTATAGGCAATTCTAACGGCATGTTTTTGATGTCGATAATGTGATTTCAAATTGGATTTATTGGTACTTGCCCATGCTATATTACTATATGTACAATAGGCATGTATAAATGAGAAATAAAGATGTTTCAGATTTTCTTGGGATAACATTGGTCTAGCTTTGTATAGACACCAATGTTTTTGGTTATTTTAGTACTTAAATAGTCAATATGTGCTTTCCACGAAATGTTTTCATCAATAAGTGAACTTAGAAATTTAGTTGTTGTGGTTCTTTCGATATTTTTGTTTTCTATTTTCAGCAATGACAATATATTTGGTAGTTTTTTTCTTTTTTGATTGGGATTGAATAAGAGTTTAAGAAATTAGTTTTTTCTGTGTTTAAAGATAATTTATTAGATTTTAGCCAAATATTAAGTTTTTCAAGTTCAATATTTGTTGTTTCAAAAAGTTCTGTAATTGACGGGGATGAATAGAATAAATTAGTATCATCTGCAAACATTATGACATCAAATTTGTTTGAGGCTTTCGGAAGATCATTAATGTATATTAAAAACATTAAGGGAGCTAGAATGGAACTTTGGGAAACGCCACATTTG